ATCATGGAAAGAAATGGTGGTTCAAAATTATAACCACAAGCACCGTATATAGTGTTAAATAGTTGCCACCAGTTTACCATTTTAATTGTGCGGGTATACCAATGGTGATGTTCCCATGATGACATATCATAAAGCCATCTGGCACGTGGATGTTGATGCCATTCGGACTCGGGTGTGTCTGTGACTTTCGATCCTACATGAGCCGGAGTGATTTGGCAACAAAAGTGACATGTGGTTTAAGGTGTTCTTTGTTTTTTACCATGTTTACCTGTGAATTATTTGACCAACCGAGCTCTATCCGCTCAACAAGATGCTTTGTAGACACGAATCCAGTCAGTGCTCATGTGTTTATGTGAACACTGGTCCAGCAATTGTGTCCAATTTTTCGTGTGCAAACATGCAGGAGAAAAAGATGTGTTTTTAGATGTGAAGCAGTGCACTTCTGATTTCTTATTTTCCCAGTGTCGCAGCACCAGATACCGACACCCATTCAAAGTATTTAACAAATCTTAAATCCGACAGATTCAAATCTATAGGGTAGTAGTATCATATATGTGCAACCGGTGCGAGCTGTAGACCTGATCAATCACCGAAACGATGGATATTCAGCAAGTAATGATTGTGGGAAGCTGCCAAACAAAGAACCTCCAAATGAGCAGTGCCCTAAACTGAACCCACTATCATCCCCTACTGATTGGTTGATTGGGATTCCCACAGCAGATCATAATGCCACTTATTGATCCATTAAAAAAACCACCCCCGCAGGCCCACCATCAATCAACCATCATTTTGAAGATAAGTCTTGCATCCGAATCATATCCCCTTGCCACAACCATCAAACAAAAGAGCTTTATCAATGGATTGGTTTAAAGAAAATCGAACCTGGAAAACCATGGTGTTTAGCCCCAACTTGGATTTTTGGTTTTCAGATGTTCCCTTGGCTAGACCAATTCTGGTACGTTCTCCGGGCATGGCTTAACTGGGACCTCCTGAGGTTCCAACGCTGTGATGGAATCTGGATACTGCAAGCCTGCATTCATGGTCTCCTGACACGGTTTTCCAGCACCAGCGGCTTGGTCGAATGTGTGCAGCTATAACGCAAAAATCATCGAAAATAAGTGTTAAACAGTTACCCTCTGGTAATTTAGCGTTGCTATTGAAAATGACCATTAATAGTAGATTTTCCCGTTAAAAATGGTGATTTTCCATGGCTATGTTAAATTACCAGAGGGTAAACTTCAATACTTAAACAGTTTCTCAATGATAAACCCCTTTAATGATAAACCCAATAAAAAGAGATCCACTGAAACAAGTGTTTCTGGAAGGTGTTTTTGTGAAGTGGGTGTTTCGGCTACACCAGTATATGGGGGTTTCCATAGTCATGGGGGTACCCCTATATCGCTGGATGGTTTTATGGGAAAATCCATCAATGGATGATAACTGGGTGTACCACTATTTTAGGAAACCCCAAATCATCCATTTTAGATTGGGATTTTCCATTATAAACCAACAATTTTTGGGATAGCCCCATGACTATGGAAACCCCCATATAGTCGGATACCCAATCTCAAATCCCAAAGTTCGAGAGTTTCTACAGCGCTTCTGTCAAAATTCCCCAGCAAATCAGAGGAGTTGGCCCAGGAGCCATCTGGGGTGACAACCCAAAAAATCTTGGTGCTTAGTAGGGAATTTTCGGGAATGATCCATAATCACTATCAATAATCATCCCAGCAACCCCCAGCAACCCCCAGCAACCCATCCAGCAACCCTACGTTTTAGACGCACCAGTAAGAAATATCCACGGCACATCACGGCACTTGAACGAGATGTTCAAAAAAGGACACATCCCATGAAAACATTCTTCGAATCTCCCATGAATAGTAAGTGGATTATAACCCCAGTTTTTTCAGTGGATTAACCCTACAAAAATCCCATGTATTTATAACTGGGGTTATAACTATAACCCACTTACGACTAAGTGGGTAGTTCGCCACCAAGTAGGAACCCAAAAAAACAGCCGTGAAATCTCTCACAACTCCAATCCATGGCCAAAAAAATTTCGGCTGGCCTTGACCCACATCTTCACCAAGGAAAGGCACGCCAAATAAACCACCACCTCAGATCCGGAGCGGGAAAAGCACCAAATTTTCGGATGTTTCCCATGTGTTTTTGTCCAAGGAAACTGGCTATGCTTCATAATTTCCTCAGTTTTGGACAGACCCATCTGAGAATTACTGAGAAAGAACATCATCACATTTCAGTAAAGCCAGTACCTGGAGGCATATCAAATATAATCATATTAAGGATGTTTTGGTCAAAGATTGATCTGAAAGCTTACCGGAACCTCCTATATTTGGAAGAGAAATAGAGAGGATCGACCCACGGCAGGATCAAGTCACTGCCAGCAGCTAGACAGACGTGTCCCCCAAAGATAAGGGCAGCTTCAACACAAAATCCGCCCCATAAGAAACTATCCACGCCTTGATATGTTTCCATGGGCTTCTCGAAAAGTTCGAGAAAAGTTCAGCAATTTCCAAAATCTCGAAAAGTTCCACGAAGTTCCTTTTTAAAAAACATCTCGAGATGTTGACTTCTCGGCTTCAGTTCCAATTTTTCTGGGCGTGCGGCTGTACAAAATGGTCTGAAGCCTTCTCGGAAGGCGATGGGACCTGGCGAAGGTTTGTTTTATTGGGGGGTACCGCAATAGCCAGATGGTTGATTTTGATAAATGGTTCATTTATAAATGATCCATTTAATTAAAGATGGTTTATCTATGGTTTCATCTTTTTGTAGATGGTTAATGTTTATCTTATTTCATGGAAAAGCCATCCATTTTCATGAATGAGAAGTGGGGGTACCCCCCTATGACTTAGGAAACCTCCTTCTATAACCAGCTACATCGACCTCCTTGTCATGAAAAGATGTGGAACCTTAAACGGTGTAAGGACTTAGCATAGCAAGGATCGTGTGAGATCCATTGGAAACCATCGTCAATATCTAAAACATGTGCAACAGTTCCTGGTTCCTGGTTCCTTGGAAACATGCAAGAAAAAAATGGATTTAGATGGTAAATAGACACCGCAATTTGGGAATGTGTTGGGTGAACTTACATATATTATCATATATTGACTTTCAGGTGTCCAAGCTTTATAAAATTGAATATCAAGTTCAGTTCCTATTCTCCAAGCCCAAAGCCAACTGTCACCACAGCGCAGGACGTTTGAATGAAGTAGATAGAAACTGCATCTGAGACCAATCTCGCAATGAACCATCAGCAAGATGTTTCTATTAACATTGCCAATCTTAGATACCCTGCAAAAAATGACCAATTGCTGGTGAACGTAGATAGTCCCATTAATAGCAAAAGACTAGTTAAGATTAGTTTTTTATCCATGTAAGATTGACCTAGTTAATAGCTAAACAAATGAACCTTTCAGAAAAGACCATGCCAAATCTTAGATACCCTCTGCCGAAAAAAAAGACACTGCTTGGTTAGCTGAGTTTCGCAAAAAAATCACCCAACATAACCCAGCAACAAAAAATCGATCATAGGGACGTTTTTTTTGGGATACATGCAGCCAGCATGAAGTTCATTTGGATCGCAACAAGAGTCAGTGGGAATTTCAGGATCCTAAAATGGAGGTACTGTACCATATAAGGCCATATTTTGGGGGAATATTCCCTCAAAAATAGGCCAAAAATATATGGAATTGGTACCTCCATCAATCGGTTCCTGGAATGGCCATTGAAAAAGATCAACTCCAAGTCTCATCTCTTGGGGTTCCCTGGAGGAAGCGGTGAGTTCACTGGGTGACCCAGGCTGATGGCGATCAAAATCATTACCTCAGCCCCATCTCAGCCCCATCTCGCCACGGCTGTGCTAAATGCCATTACCAACACCGGGATTGAATGGAGATATGCATAACATTATATAACAGTATGTATATATGTATATATATATGTGTGTATATATATATATGTATTATACTGAAATTGAAAACCACAACTTTATATACTGAAATTGAAAACCACAACTATTGTTGTGAAGAAAAATTAAGACACACCGGACACAAGCCACCGATTTGTGGTTGCGCAACAGCTAGACAAGCTAATGTTGACGACACCAGATGCTTTTCACGCTGTCATGCAACTGGCCAGAATCAGCTCTTCAAACCTGCTTCAATAAGCATATGACAATCCCGAAAGGGTTGGGATATGGGGGGTTTCCATAGTCATGGGGGTATCCCTATATCGCTGGATGGTTTATTTCATAGAAAATCCTCTAAAAATCGATGATTTGAGGCTACCCCCAAATCATCCATGTTGATATGATTTTCCATTATAAACCAGAAATTTGGGGTACCTCCATGACTATGGAAACCCCCATATCTGAACGGTTATCCCGCAAATGTTCATGGTATCCATTTGGGGGTGGCCATTCCTGCAGCCTCCAAGTTCCAGTGTCGTAGCCAAGAAGCCACTAACGAATACACGGTGGTCCAGCCTCTCTCTTGGGCCTGAGAGTGCCGGGTGCATGTTGCCAATCCACAAAATCATAGTCCCAAATACCCTCTGGTTATGTCAAAATAGCTATTGAAAATGACCATAGAAATAGTGGATTTACCCATTGAAAATGGTGATTTTCCATAGCTATGTCAGTTTACCGGAGGGTATGTGGAAGATGGAAATAGGTATCATCCATGTGCCCTTTTTTCATTACTAAACCATGGATTAAGGAACTCTTTAGGGGGATGGTTAATTGATTCTCATATTGGGGGAAAGGGATGACTTGTTTGAAGAGGCCCCCACTCCTTGCTGGTTGGTGGTTTCAACCCCTCTGAAAAATATGACTTCGTCAGTTGGGATGATGACATTCCCATACATGAAATGGAAAATAAAAAATCTTTGAAACCACAAAGCATATTATTGGGAGATCACCAACCAGCCATAGTTGATGCTTAAATCCCATGAAACCACTAGATCATGTCCCTCATTTTTCCCCAGCATCCATTGAGTTCGGGATTTCACAACTTTTTGTCGCTGGCTGCAGTCCTCGAGTCCTCGACCTTTAGTCGTATGGTCTACTCCGCGGACCTGGGATGTTTTCAGACATCCCCAAAATCTACGGTTTCCTGTAGGGAAAATGTTATATTTCCATAATATGTCCATAATATGTTCATAATATTTCTATAGTACTTCAATCATATTTCCACAATACTTACATAATATGTTCATAATACTTACACAATTAACAATATGTCCATAGTATGCCCATTATATTTCCATAATATGTCCATAATCATAATACTTCCATAATATTGCCATAGTATGTTCATAATATTTCTATAATACTTCAATCATATTTCCATAATATCTGGGTGAATTATCATATTTCACTAACCTGAATCTTGCGGCCATGAATGGGGATGATTCCCCTAAAATAAACCATGATTTCCATTATATAGTGCCATATATAGATACCTCTAGTAATTTAACATAACTATGGAAAATCACCATTTTTTACACTATAAATGGCCATTTTCAATAGCTATTTTGACATAACCAGAGGGTAACCATCCTGGCAGATGACCATCCTGGCTCACTCGAGGAATACGAAGAGACCGTTGCATGGTGCCGCCGCCACGATCCCATCGCCTGACGGCGTTTGACGGACGACGAAGGGCGGGTGCGGAACGGGGATCGAACATCTATGATGCTTTTGAGGTGATGCTATATCTAGAAATATACTGTATATCTATGTATATATATATATATATGGTATATATATATATATGGTATATCTATGTATATATATACAGATATATATATATATAGATACATATATATCTATAGATATACATATATATATATATAGATATATGGTATATTCTGGTATTGGATAATGAAGTTAAGTGATGTTAAGTGATGCTTCTTCTCGCAACTTAAAACATGAAAGCAAGCTAAATGGCCAGTTGAAGTGACCATGGGATGGATTGTGTCCGAATATTTTCTGGTGATGAATGCAACAATTTTGAACCCTTCCATGGGGCGACGTTCTTTTTAGTACAGAGGTAAGAATGGATACTCATCATACGCATGGTTCAAAGGTACCCTCTGGTTATTTAACATAGCCATGGTATAGATGGCCCTAATCGAAATAGATGGTTTACCTAGCTATATAGCATGGTGGATCTTTCCAGTTCGCGAACCGTTAGTCATAACCAGATGGTAGTCTTTTACACTATGACACCGATTGGTGCGGTAATATCGTACTCCCAGATAAAGATGTGGGGAAAGAAAGGGTGGTGCCCTCCAGCTATGTTTGTTGATGTTTTTGAACCATAGTAGCTAGTTTTTTTATATACCCAGCATGAAAAAAAATCCATTACTAGAGGCTTAATCACCAAAAAAAAACATGAAACCATGATTTCCAACCAGGAATTAAGAACAGTTCTTGGAGTTATGGTGGCACCCACTTAGCGACACCAGGAACCAGGAACCTGTGTTGGCCCAGGAACCCTGGATCCTGAAAAAACTCAAAGGAAGGATTCAAACAGGATCCCGCGTAATTCATAATATATATACTATAATTATATATATATTATGTGATAGATATATATATACATCATATCATATATATATCATTATATGTCATGTATCATATATATATATATATATTCATGTATATATATATATATTTTGTACATATTATCATATAATTCGTTCCCCCTATTACTAACCTCCCCCAAATACTTAAAACTAGGGTCCATCTTATATTTCGGAAAATTTTCAGATTGGCCAATTTGACTTTTAATTTCTCCCCTTTAGAAAACAATTTAAACATAAAGCTAGCATTTGTGTGTGTTCGCCCCCTAATAATAAAAACTAGTCAACCCCGGGGTGTTTATTATTAGGGTCCGTCCGAAAATTTTTAGTTTATTTATTTATTTTAAGGCTTTTAATTTATTATTAGGGCCCACTTCGAAGACCAATTTTTGGCAATATTTTAATTGCGTTATATAAGGAGGATTTTTAATTGATTTTGAAATTGGAAAAAATAGTGTTTGTTATTAAGGTTTTAAATTTATTAATAGGGTTCCCTAATAATAAATACCCCCCCCAATAATAAAAACTAAGGTGTTTATTGTTTGGGGGGGGCGTTTAGTATTAGGGGGAAGGGATTGTATACAATGTACATATACATATACAACCTTTGCTAAGTCAGTCACAGCTGAAAAAAAAGGCTATGAAACTTAGGGGCGTCCCCATCACCAACGAGGAAATGGAGGGTGGATCCATCGCCGATGACCAGAGGGATCCACTGCCGAGTCTTTTTTTGGTGCTTTAAAAACAAAAAAATCATAGTTAATGAAGCTTAACATTATATTAACCATAGTTAGTAACCATAGTTAATGAAGATTAATATATATATATATAATATATATATCTATATATATAATATAATATATATATATATATTCACCATAGTTATTGACCTAATATAATCCTATTAAACATAGCTATAACCATTGCCAATCTGACAGATACCCTGCAAAAAATGACCAATTCTTTGCTGGTGAACGTAGATATTCCCATTAATACCAAAAGACTAGTTAGGATTGAAGTATCCATGTAAGATTGACCTAGCAATGAATCACATGGGATTTTGAGACACATCCCCTGATGAGCGAACATCAAATACACTCAAAATCACTCACAGAAACTGGGATTCTTGGACCCGCACACATGACATGGGTCTGTCTCAAAATGTTTCCTGTTTGAATTGCCGCATTACCATAAATTGCGGAGTTCATCCCATTTCCAGACTCACCCACATTTCTCCCCAAAAAGCACCCAGAATCCCAGGCACTTAGGGCTGGAGCCCCTTGAAAAGCGTTCTTAGTGTCCTGAGCGATGCGGGCTGCCACAGTTCAAATTTGTGGGTACTCAATCCGTTGGTCAATCATCATGTTCCCTACCCATGACGGATCCATGTATGCTATGGTGCTGCTATATATGGTAACATGGATCCCATCAATATACCCCCAATGTTAGCATATATACAATGTGAGGCCCCCCAGTTATAAGTTGGTTTATAAGCCCCAGTAACTATAGTTATTTGCGTACCATATAACATAGTTATTGGAGTTATAAACCAACTTAGCTATCTTGGGGGCCTCACATTGTACCAGCACCATGGATCCGTCACGGGCTATTCATTGGCCAGTTGGAGGATAGACCCCATTTTCAGACATCGAGGGCACATTGACAGAGGCCAGCCCTTTGGGCACGCCACAATGACCAGTTGATGTCATTTGGGTGCCACAAATATCTCAGAATATGTGCATGTGTATATATATATATATACATGTGTGTATATTATGTTAATATAGCTACGCATCACAATATGGTGTATATCATTAAAATGGTCAGATATGCGAGACATTAATGTTGCTAGTCTACAGGATGGGGCCCCCAAGATAGCGTTCAGTTGGTTTATAAGTGGCTTAACAATGGTTTATGGTAGATATAACTATAGTTACTAGGGATTATAAACCAACTTATAACTGGGGGGTTCGTAGTCTATACTCCCAAGGCCAAAAAAAGCCGACTTTCCGAGCAACAAAGCTGTCAACCTCATCTGGGTCAATCTTTCCATCTCCATTGCTATCCTTCAGCCGATAGATCCTGAGATTTCGGCCAACCAACAAGGGAAAGAAATTGGCGGATCAGGTGAAGGCGTAAGCCTTCACTTCATGTTGAAAAATATGTATCTCTATGTAACGTGTTCAAAAAACTCTAGAAATGTATATATATATATAAACAATTATTATAGACATTTTTGTTTGCATATAGAGAATGCATATTGTATTGGTGTAAATGATTCCTATTCTTTGCATTCATTATGGTGTCTCCGTTGAGGCTGCGTTGCTAGCTGTAGCCACAATTCAGCAGAATTCATCATACGACCGTGTCTTGTTCGGACAATGAATAGCCTGAACTTGAACCTAAAACTATAAACTATAAACTATAAA